TGTCTGTCATGATATTCGGACTTTCTTCTAATCAGTCAATACGAAAGGGTGTATGTACATGTCACCATCAGATACCCAATGACATTCAATGAAGCATGTCATAAAACCAATCACTTGAAATAGAGTAACCTTGTCATGTTTCTTCTCTCTTCTTTGGGTTTTGTTTTGTTTCCCCAGTCCCCTTGGTGAATGTTGGTGGGCGGAGTCTGCTGCACCACACTTGCTGACCGTCAACCTGGTTTATCGATGCAGCACAAGTGGAAAGTGGAGACTGAATTATGAGATACTTCCTCCAATCCCATGATCTATGATGCTAGCTTGTTGATCATACTTTTTGTGTGTGGGGTTTTTTTTCTGGTTGGTTGTATTTACTTTTTATCAGTCCCTTTGATGAATCGAAGTAGCCTGCTTCTTTTGTTTCCACTTCTCTGAGTGTTTCTTTTCCATTGTAGATTTCAAGTATTGCTGTTGAACTTTCACTGTGGCTCTGTCCAAATCTTTAAAGTTTAGTTTTGGACTGTTACCTCACTCTAAATTGTCTCCCCAGTTGTGACTGTAAGCATCAATGGTTGCTCGTCTATCTTGCATGTAAATCGGAGCAGTCAATCATTGATTTATTCATTCAATTCTGACCAAAAGCGAGCCCACGAACATCAGGGTTGTGTTTGGAAATCCACTCTGATGCCAGTGCACTACCCTGAGAGTGCGTGTCTTCGAAGAGGCACCAAGTGATCACCTCTCATTAACCTCTGAACGCAGTCTATATTCTTAAACAAGGGGTGCCCAACCTTTTTTGACCAAAGATCTACTTTTCAAGCAACCAACGTCCCGCGATTGACCTTTTACCGCAAGTGTTTGCATACACACACACCCGCGCATATACATGCACACACATACACATTTGTTTGTGAAAAGGATATCATTGCCCACCTTAGTCGAGACCTGATGCGGAGGCATGGGATGCACTTTTGCAGCGGGTTAAGTGCAGGAACGTCACTGTTGGAGCTCACGTGTACAGTTAGAAGTATAATTATGAATTAGAATAATAATTTAAAAAAAATATTTTGCAACAGCTCCGAAGCTGCGATTACAGACTGCCGACCACTAACAACTTCTGTTGATGCAGGTCATTAAGCCTTTCAGGGACAGCGGTTACTACAATGGACAGCTCATCATGTTATCAGGTTACAGGATGCATGAAAAGGTCAAAGGTGACCTGCTTTTATTTTTTAAATACTTTTTTGTGAAAGTAAAACTGATAGGAGGATGTAGTGTGCCCTAACACTAAAATATATTATATTAACAACAAGCACACATGCAGACACACTATTTTTTTTTTTTTTTCATTTCCCTCTACACCCCTCGCAATTGACTTTGGATCAGTCCACGGGCTACCAGTCAATCGCGAACTGTCAGAATGAAGCATGTGAGCGCTTGGATTATATTTTCAATTGCACCGTAGTGCTCGTTAACACCCAAATGCATTCAGAAATACGCTCTGAGCACGCTACTTCACTCAGACCCTTTGGAAACTCTGAAAGTTTTTCAAATGTGCTATTTGGTTATTCAGAGTGCCCCAAAAAGCGATGCCCAGTAAGAAAGTAAACAGCTGCATTCAGAAATAACGTGAATAAAGGGTTGTGTCCGGGCAGTGGACAAAGACTACGTTATAGTTTGTCCTTTTTATCTTAAAATGGCTTAACTTAACTAGAGGACCGCGTCACATTGTTGCCAATTTAAATCCTTGCTGATGTGCAAAGCGAAAGTTAGATGCTATGAATACTTTTGTACTTCAGATGGAAGTGCTTCTTCATTGTCTCTTCATTGAAACAATGGGAGTCATGGCAACTAACTTTAGCTTCGCAGAACAACAACAACAAGGATTTAAAAGGTGGAGAAATACTCTAGAAATGTTCCTTTGGGTACAATACGACACAGGATGTAAGCCATTTTAAGATATAAAGGAAAAACGTTCACTCTAGTTCATCTGCGGTGCCATCAGCTCTGGTAATTTTGCAGGAGCACCGAAAATCCTGCTGAGCTGAAAAGCAGGAAAAGCACATCACAAATAAAATGTTCAAGTTTGGTGATTTCAGTGGGTTAAATATTCGGGTGTTCCATTGACAGATAATGTTACCTTAAAATGTTTTATAAAATGTTAGAACTATTGTAAATAAAAGCTGACATGTTAATTTCTACTGTAACTGGAAGGATTTGTATTTGCCTTGGTTTGTGCTCAACTTTGTCAATGGATAGTTCAACACTTTCAGGGACAGCGGTTACTACAGTTGACAGTTTATCGTTTCTACTTTCCAAATGTGGAAAAGGACGACTGCATGGAAGACGTTCTACATTCAGCATCCAGGACTGATACATGTGCAGCTTTTCTCCTGTGCACACAAGGAAATCAGGACTTGTGTTCAACCTTTAGAGGTGCTGGTATGACTTGAGGAATAATTTACCATTCTTCAAAAGAATTTTAAAAATACATAGTTTGCAAAGACTACAAATTGAGGGGAGCTTGGAGCTTGATTATTGAGGTCATATAGAGGTGCAAACATGTGAAGTAAATTAGAAGTTGCTCTCCTAACAAATCTACAATCATTTTAAGCAGCTTCCTTACTTTATTGATATTGGGAAGGAACTCACTTTTAAAAACAACATGAACGCTCACCGCATTTTTATACACTTTGTGTATCGTGTAGTAGACCTCATGCAACATCACTCCATGCTTGCATGCTATCACGCATTCTATCTCTCCCACAGAGATGCAAATACACCCGTTTCCAACAAATAGCCACGCCGGCGCACCCCGCCTCCGCCCCCTGCCCCTGCGCCTCATCCACCCAGGTCTTTGCTGCCCTCCTTTCTCAGTCAGTTCTGACAATGCTAATGATTCTCACTGGAGTACAGGATGACGGGTGACAGAGGCAGCTAGACCGAGACTGTCTGATGATGGAGGGGAGGAAGGGGGTGTGGAAGGAAACTTGAAGAACCAACCGTGTGTGTGTGTGTGTGTGTGTGTGTGTGTGTGTGTGTGTGAGTCTATAATGGGTGGGGTGGAAAAAGAGTTCAAGGATGGTGCTGCACTGGCCCCCTTTCTGGTGATGCGTCAAAAAAGATGCATATTTCCCTGACTAAATGGTAATTTATTACATGTAAGACAGGGCCTGACACCCTGAATCAGCATTGATTCAGACCACGTTGGCGTGGGAGGTTGTATGCGGGAGGGAGGAGGTAGAATAAGGTAAATATAAAGAAAGAGAACATAGGGAGGAAGAAACAGAAACGGCAATGGAAATAGTATGCATTCAGACCACGTTGGCCGGCCGGGATTGTGGGAGGTTGTATGCGGGGAGGGAGGAGGTAGAATGAGGTAAATATAAAGAAAGAAAACATACGGAGGAAGAAACAGAAACGGCAATGGAAATAGTATGCAATGAGGAGAGATGTAGCCCCTGGGCATGGGGCATGTTTTCCTTGTTTCCTTATCATTAGGGTATTTCTAATTCAAATATATGCCTTAAATAATTCACACAGGGCATATCAAAGAATAGAGTGGAATAGTGTGTCTATGTTCAAAATAAAGTACATGCGAGAATGATTTCTCCTTCTGAGAAAATGTTTCAATGTATTTATTTAATTTTCAATAAAATTGGGGGAAGAAAGGTTAGCAGTATTCATGGCTGTAAATAATTATTTTATTAAACCTGTTTTGATATTTTTCGTAGGTCAGATATTAATGATTTTTAAATGTTCACTAGATAAGATAGCTTATGTATTTTCACTTTACTTTGGACAATGTTGTTTATGCAACCACATGACTTAAAAATGTATCTAGATCCAGATGATTTGATTTTGTGCAACCACTGGATGAAATGAAAAAGTAAATTCAACACTTTTTTTTCGGTTTGACTACAATTTTGGCTGTGCTATTGTCAATCTTCAATGGACATTTTCAAAAAAGTTAGATGTACATCACTTTGTGTTCAACGCATCATCAAAATGGATATTGTAATTAGATCCAAGAACTTCTGATATGAAATGTAAAAAAATGCTACTAAATACTTGCCATAAATCTGAAAGAGTTAATTCAAATATTGTTTATATATATATATATACTGTATATATATTAGTGTTTACAACACTAATATATGTTTACAACACAAATATATTTTTTTAAAATCACATTTCCCAAATGACAAATCATCTAATAAAACGAGTGTTTGGATTCCATTGCCAGACAATAATGTGACAAGTGAAATTGAACATGATGTCATTATTATGAATCAACATTAAAACGAAATTTAACAATATAAATTTAAAATAACAAATGTATAGAATGATAATATTAATGACTTGCTACAAGCACTGAATAATGTATTCAAATAAAAGAATGATACTAATTCACAAACTGAATTATTACTGAAAAAGGGAATCATATTTGGTTCCTTTCCCCAGCCTGGCGGCCGCTCTGTCGTGTGGCGATCACACTGACCGGAAACTGTGTGTGTTGTTTAAAAATAAAAGCTCAAAAAAGATGTAGGGAAGAGGGGTTATGGAAACGCTCTGAAAAAAATAACAAACATATAACATTACATTTAAAATATTTTCAGTGGGTCTTCCGTTTATTAGAAAAGCTATCTCGTAAAAGATCAATCATCTCAGGCCAAAATGGCGACTTCCGGTAACTGTCCAAAAGACAGCCAGCCAGCCTTGTCCTGTTGCCGTGAAGGAAAACGCACTGTGCTTACTCATATCTTAACACACATATTAATTCGATGGAAACATACACCGCGACGTGACCACCGGGAATGATCATCAATCCGCGATAACCGGCATCATTGTCAGGGCAATATTGTGAAAGCAATAACCGGAAATTGTAATTGTTTCTTACGCCAGCTCGATGTTAAACGTGGGCTGGCTGAATCCAGCCTGCCCTAAATTCCGTCATTAACATACACTGCGGCTCTCGCTTCATATAAGTGGCTCCCCAGCCAATCTGCGAGCAGAGAGCGTGTCGGCGCGCACGGACGCGAGAACCCACTCCCAACAAGCGGAGGACTGACAAGCAGAGACAGTCTTCTTTTTTTGTCCGAGCCTTGCATCTGATGCTCAGATGCACATCAAACACACGCACTGATCCTTACAGATGAGCCCAGGAATCAAGTTTGCAAGGACAGATGATGATTCCTTCTTCCCTCTGATCACTTCCAATTGATTGACATTCCCTTTGACTTGCCAACAGGACTATAATTAAATTTAGGAATATACTTTTGGGACTCTTGGATTTTAAAAATCATCCCTGCTTTTCGGTGTCACTTGTCTTCAGCGCTTGAAAATTGCGCGCAACGATGGCGCAAAGGGTAAGTAACTCACACCGTAACTTTTCATACTCGATGTTAATATTTAGTCATTATTTAAAAGGTTTTAAATATGTAGTGTGTGGTGTTAAATTAGGTGTAATGATATGAATGTGTGGAATCGATTCCATCGTCGTTCATATGAGCCCCGGGGATGGTGGAACTGTTGGGCAATATTTTTTTTTGTCTTATTCATTCAAAAAGAAATTCACATTCATATAATCTTTTATCACCTAAGTACGATGAGTTGGCTCATTACGGAGGCGGGATGGATGGAGTTGGAGTCCCGACATCCATGTACGGAGACCCCCACGCCCCGCGGCCCCTACCCCAGGTCCACCACCTGAACCACGGGCCGCCCCCGCATCCCACGCAGCACTACGGGGCCCACGCACCGCACAGCATCATGCCGGGCAGCATGGGCAGTGCGGTCAATGACGCCCTGAAAAGAGACAAGGACCAGATTTACGGGTATGCGTCTTGAAAGAATCTAAACAATCTTTTTTGGGTTCGACAGGGTGAAGAAATGTGCGCGATTAAAAAAAAAAAGGCGTGGATGAGACACTTGAAAACCAATTTGGTTATTTCAAGCAATTTTAATTTGAAGTGCCAATTATATGAAGACAACATTATTTACGAACCAAATAAACCAACACAACTTCCAGCGATGATCGAAAGGCGAATATATCGTTTGCATTTGTTTAGAAATAATCGCTTTCTATTGATTGTGATTATAATTGTTGAAAAAGGAGCATGACTTGATTTTATTTGATCAACTTCTTGCATTTTTTTTTAACGCAAGGCCGCCGCGGATGCTTTTTTTTTTTTGTTTTTTTGACGAGTTTCACGTTCCTGCGTTGCAGCCATCCTTTATTCCCGCTTCTTGCCCTGGTTTTCGAAAAGTGCGAGCTGGCGACGTGTACGCCCAGAGAACCCGGAGTGGCTGGCGGCGACGTGTGCTCCTCGGATTCTTTCAACGAAGACATAGCGGTGTTTGCCAAACAGGTTAGTTTGCGCGTGCAAATCTTGACGAGAAATAAGATACTTGAAATAAATCAACTTCAGGGGGCTCGGCAAGATTATTATATCGTTGCTGCATTCAATGGGCAATGATTTTTTTTTAGAAATGTTTGCAAAGGGACAATCGACAGCTGGCGGATATTTTCTCGTTTCCTGCACTTTCAGATCCGAGCAGAGAAACCTTTATTTTCTTCGAACCCGGAGCTGGATAACTTGGTGAGTACACAGAAGCGTTTCCTTCCTTCTCTTTTCTTGGAAGGCGCGCGTCGCGTGCGCTCGCCTGGAGCAATCACATCCCTTTAGGGCGCAGTTATTAAAATCATTGTTTTACTCATAAAACAGCAGAGCGTTTTATAAAGCGCCCGAAGGCTCTACGCACCCTGTTGATTGATGGCTCCCTGATTTTTTTTTTTTTTAATTTTTTTTTGCTTTTAGATGATTCAAGCCATCCAAGTGCTGCGTTTTCATCTACTGGAATTGGAAAAGGTCAGTATTTTTCTGCTGGCAGTGAAGACCACATTATGGAGCGTTTTTGATTGACTTATATAATTAAATACACTGTCGTATCAAAACACCAGTTAATGAATAAATCAAAGTTTGGCTATATTGATGCATGCACAACTCACCCGGCATCTTCATTTTTAAGCATCTCAAGGCATTCATTACATTTGGCATCTTTTCCAGTTTAACTGTGCCCAGAGGAAGGGCGAGTCAACGAGATAGTATGGAGGAGCATAACTTTAGCAAAACACCTTTTGAGAATAAACAAAGCTTGCAAGTAATATCCTTCTGTTCAACATGAGTGACCTCTGACCTCACAAATGCTTTTCTCGATGAATGGACAGTATTCCTTAGACACACTAAAGTATATAAAAGCTGCAAAGGGATGACAAAGTCATTCTTTGTTCCATTTTTTGTGCAATGGCCAGGTAAAAAAAAAAAAAAAAAAAAAAAAGGAAATCAGTGCAGTATTTAAAACCCTATTTGGTTTCATCGTAGGTGCACGAGCTTTGCGATAACTTCTGCCATCGGTACATCAGCTGCCTGAAAGGCAAAATGCCCATCGACTTGGTCATTGAGGAGCGGGACGTCTGCAAGTCGGATTTTGATGATCTGTCGGGATCGTCCACCAACCTCGCAGATCATGTGAGTTTACTGCATCGTAAAGATGTCGCGATGGAAAACAGACTCTCGTGTTCATCATTTGTTATGGCGTCTTGAAAGTAGCAAAGGCTTGCATATGGGTTTGAAAGGATTTATGTTTTTTTTTTTCCCGTGGATTCGTTCAACCCATTTAATGCGATGTTTGACGTCATTGGTGGGTGATTTGCTTATGAGCAGTTTCCTTTGTACACCATTTCATTCTCATCCATTCCATTTAATTCAACATGTACAGTAGTACCTAGCAAACTTTTTTTTAAATGAATATTTTTTGTTATAATTTTTTTTTTTTTAAAGCGAATACAAAACTCTTCATTGTTTCATTTTAGGAACATTTCTTGAAATAATGTTAGCTATTTAGCACACTTTTTTTTTAGTTGTCAGTGGTGTATTGGATTTTTTATTTTTTTTTTTTTGGTTGGCAGTAAGAATAAACAACACTCCCATTTCAATAGACAACAAATAGTCCTCAAACCTCTGAGAACGTGCCCCCTTTTTTCCAAGCAAATTAGGGCGATTCAAATTATGTCTCTCTCGTCATCATATAACAAACAAAAATGTGTGTTCTGTGTGTTTCTGTGCGTGTGTGAGGAAAGTCGCCATATGAGGACACTCTTGTTTTAAGGTCAGATGGGATGCGTGGATACAAAATAGCGGCGTGCCAAAGATGAGCGTTAACCCACTCGCATCTCCTTTCTCAAAGTGTGCTTGTGTGACAGAGTGAACGTCGATTGTGCGTGTAATTAGAGACTCTGCAAGCACCTGACAAAAGACGTCGGTTTTGTAGCTTTTTCCACCAAGACTTGAGGCGTGACATCTCCGTAGCGCTGTTGTAAAATAACAAAGGAAGAGGGTACAGTTGGACCCTATTGCTGTTCCTGAAGAGACATTATTTCTCTCAGTCTTTCTGTAGTACATGCTAAAATTAGACCGAAGTTATTATTTTTCCAGGTTATAAACGTACCAGGGCAGCACATTTTGGAGCAGCGTGCTGGGTTACAATCCATTGAAGCCCAAATAGTCACTCGTCCTTCCAACAAACTTTCTTTTTGTTTTCATTCTTGACCATACCTCCGGCCAAGAACTATCTCACGTGAAGAAAACCAAACCAAATATTAAAGTTGAACGCTTTCATGCATCCTGTAATCTGATAACACGATAAGTCTTCCACTGGAGAAACTGCTGTCCATGAAAGGGTTAAAAATCCATGAAAAGATTCGCGCCAGAGAACGCGAATGCTAGCTGTGAAGCGCTATAAAGCCATTAGAAGTGCTAATTGTATCCTAACTAGCCTGGTGTGTGTCTTAGCTGATAACCCGGCCGCTGATAACACTCAATGTGATATGTACTGTATGTTAACTTTAACTCAACTTCTGCATTGAGGCAGGATGAATCATTGTTACAGGAGCACCTGGTTTTAGAGTTAACCTCCCCAATTCTCCCCCTTTGTTACAGCTGTTAGTATTATTCCGAAATAACACAGTTTTGTGTATTCATTCTTTGACACTGGACCTGTTTCCACTGACTAAACAGTCCTGTTCAGTTTAGTTTTATACAATTGTACCTCGACTTACGAACGTCTCTTCATACGAAATTTTCAAGGTACGAAACATCTCATTGGCTATTACCAAGCATCTTCCTGGCATCCCATTGGCTAAGAGGTACTTCACCAAATGTGTCTATATGTGTAGATAGATAGATAGGTGTCTATGCAGTGACTTCGTCATTTGCCCCTCGGGCCATGAGGCGTTCCGATAGTTTTATGTAAATGTGAATCATAGAGAAAAAGTGTTCACCAGTCGGGCAATCGCTCACTATGCTGATGTTTGCCTTGGACATTTTCGAAGGATTGTTAAAAGCCGACAAAAGCAAACGTCCTTGGATCAGTTCTTACTAAAACGCCAGGCAAAAAAAACACACTTGAGAGAGAACATGAACTAAAGTGGGCAAAAAAAAACAATGAGAACACAGTTAAAAGTTAAATGACATCATTTTTATTCTTTATGCTTTGTTTTTTACATGATGCACAACTCTCATTTATTGTCCAAAAATCTAGTTTGTAACATGTATTTGTTAAATATTTTGATGCATTTTTATGCTTTAGAAAACATTTATGTGTGAATTTTGAGGGGGCTTGGAACGGATTAGGGCTTTAACATGGAAAACGCGTCTCTACTAAATTTCTTCCAGAACCAATTAATTTCGTAAATAGAAGTATCACTTGTAGCTATTCTGTTCCCATTTCCACTCAAAATGAAATGCGCTCCTCAACGATAACACTTAACGTACGAAAGAATGAGACACGATTTACTCAATGCACACATCGCCCTGTGTTCCTTTCGATTGAATTTTAATAGACGGGACGTGAAGAAATACGACCTTCATTCGCTTAAAAAAAATGGCAAAACACATGGCGTTCTGTTGAGTAGCCGCGTTTACACAGGAGTTGTAATTATATTTCGGCCGGCTAAGAAAAGAGGGGCCATCGTGGAGACGCCTCCTTCACGCTGCGCTTTTGTCCCTGTGCTTCTTGTTGTCATCTGCCGAGCTCTTCATCTGATCACCATCAGGCAAACAGCTGACGCAAAGAGGCTGAAGAGGGAGATCTACTGTTTGGCTCGGGCTTATTGCCGTCTGAGTGGCCTGACTAAGTCTCCCGATAAATACAGGGTTCCTCCCTAAAACTGCTCCCAGAAACGATCAGGGCGTCGCAAGGTTCACATGCTGCAGAGTTGACCGATATCCTCTAGAAATCCGATATTTTTTTTTTCTCGGCGGCGTTTCATTGCGAGTCCACCGCAGGCAGAATGGTAATTTTTTTTTTTTTTTATTCTCATGTGCTGTTGTAAACTTGCTGCCTTGCAATGCTAATCGCACTTTGCAGCTGTCTTTGTAAAACTGCATAATGGACCTCTTACCGGACCTTACTGGACCTTCCTCATCTATTTTCCCCCCTTCTCCCTCCTCTCTTCTTTACTTTTATTTTCTTATCTCCTGTCCCCTGGTGTGCGGACCTTACCCTGACCTCTCAGAACCCGGCATCCTGGAGAGACTTGGATGACGCCCACTCCACACCCTCGGTAGGAACCCCGGGACCATCCAGTGGGGGACACGTCTCTCAGAGCGGAGACAACACCAGTGAACTCGGTAAGAGAGCCCACGAGGTCTCCTCCACATCAAAGCTTTGCATTTTCAGTGACGTCTCTTCAACTCGGGGTCCCGTCGAAAGGTGTCGGGATTATTTCATGACCGTTAACGTACTCCCTTTATCCAACCGTGATCCCGATCGCATCTGTTCCCGATCATTAACAAAGACGTTTCATTTCAAATTTTTCCGTCTGGAATTTTACAAACAGTCGGATAGGTCAGAGAAGGATCGTGCTGGAAAATGGCAAAAATAATGATAACCTGGAACCTGATCACCTGATAAACTGTCCACCGTAGTAACCGATGTCCCTGAAAGGGTTAAGAGAGGTTCCTGTGTGTTTTAGTTTAGTTTAGTTTTTTTTTTTTTTGGTTTGCCCTGATGCAGCATCCTCACAAATCAGAACTCTGGGACAGTATTCAAACGACAAGTTGCTTCATTAATGAAGACCTCTTGACAATGCCGTCCTGGGTACGACTCATTTAGAAGTGATGAATGGATCTGTTAACGCTAATTGGAGGCCATCAGAGTTTTATGACTTGTTTTTTTTTTTTTTTTTGGTTTTGGTTTTTTTTTGTTTTGTTTTTCCTTCCCTTTTGGCCGCAGCAAAACTAGAATGGACTTTAAAGCAACTTTTTTCACCCTCTGCATATCAGACATCACCGGGCAGAGCATTGACAAGAACAATAGGAGGATGCTTTGCAAGACAAGGGAAACTGAGAGGATTAAGTCGACACAACAGAAACAGATCGCAATCTTTACTTTGATATTGCACCAAGCACTTTACAAAATCTTATTTTTTTTTACCCTGCATCACCTTTAGATGAGCATGTTGGAGATAGTTGTAACTTTTTTTGTGTGTGTGTGTGTATCTAAAAGTCACAACAGCCTGTATGTGAATAGCTTTTTTTTTCCCCCTTTAGGCTTTTTTTTTTTTTTTTTTTTAAAGACAACAGTGGGGGAAACCTCAAGGTCCATGGCCTTTTGACCTGGAAAAGAATACATTGGGGATGGGGGTGCAGAATACCCCCTGTGGGGATGTAAGGGCAGAGCATTTTATGTATATGAAACAAAGGCAGAGAGGAGAACGGAATGATCAGAGCTGCAGATGCTGCAGCAAGGGCTGGCTGTATGTGGTACCTGCTGAGGCTACCTGGGCCCCCGCTTTATTTTCCCGCTATGATACGGAGGAATCAAACCCGGCACAAACTGCAGTTTCAAAGGCATTCGGAGACTGCAGAAGTCCCATCCGTTTATTTCATGGCTGGCACGCTCAAATTGAGGGGCACTCAGATAAACGCAAGGCAGCGCCACTTCGCCAAACTTTCCGATTTCTGCGACTCACGCCGGTTAAATCTGTGACGGCAATTTTTGAGCAACCCAATGTAGAAATACGGGGTGTAATAAAACCTCACGAAACAGAAAAGATGGATGCTCGGTGCATCTAAAATGCTTTATGCCGTAAATTGTTTGGAAAGTGGAGTGAGAAGCGGAGGCTCCACAGATCATCACAGCAACCGCAAACTGAAGCCATTTGATTTGTGACATTCAATTCTTCTTGAAAATCAAGTCATTCAATATGTGATTTACTTTTTTTTTTTTTTTTAGACCCTTGCATCCTGTAACCTGATAACATGATAACCTGTCCACTGTCGTAACCGTTAAGGGTTAATTTGCCCAATGTTTACCTAAATCGAACCAGGTGCATTGGCCTAAAGAAAATTCTTTAGTAGCATTGCGAGTTCCCTGTTGTGATCACAGTCCTTTTATTTTCAATTTTTTAATCCATCCATCCATTTTCTGTACCGCTTGTCGAGACATTGATGAGCTGGAGGCAATCCCAGTTGATTTTGGTCCATCCTGGACTTGTCGCTATTTCATCATAGGGTCACGTGTATTATTTTATTTATTTTTATTACATCAGTTCTATATGAAATAATATCTATACTCTAATGTTTAACATGAATTCAGCTTTGTGGTCTTTCCATGAGTTAATGTATGTATACACCGTCTCTGCAGAGGAATCCATTTTCTAGAGTAGACCAAAAACTTGTTATTCCAGCAATTGCTTATCTTAACGTTGCTGCGGCAGCAGTAGTCACTCCCCCCGTCTTCTGACAGCACCGAGCGATGCCGTTTGAGAGCATCCTGGCAATGGCAATTGCCTTCAAACCACAGGCAAATGATCTCATCCACTTGTGGCTAGTGGTTGGGCTTCTGGCTGCCTGCTTCTTCTGTGGCCTCCCAGCGTTTGGTTGTTTCCTTGTAAGCCGTGTGATATGCAAAGGGCTCCCTTTGATACCTCCGACCCCCAGGGTTACTGCTGTTGACCACAGCTAAGGGGGCTGAGCTATCCGAGGAATGTTTGGAAGGGGTCTGGGGGTGGACCAGGAGAAGCTTCGAATGTCCATCACAAAGAGGGAGATAAAACAAAAGGCGGGAGAGGGACAGGTCCCAAAGATTCCGTGCACTTGCATTGGGAAATGTATTGCAAGGAACAGGATATGTAGAATTCTTCTCTCAGACTCGAAGACAGAAGCAAACAGGATGGAATGTTTCACCGTGTGGTCACTGACATGCCAGTGACAACACAGCTTCACTGTCAATACGGCAACACAAACGCATGCATATTTATATCTGCTTCATTTGCATATATCGGAACACATTATGCATTAACTCTCGAACCCGAGTCATGTCAGAGCCACATTATGGCCTGTCAGTGTGCCTTGTTTGTACCTTGTGAGTGGAATGTGTCGCAATACGAAAACAGGGCAAATAGCAGAGGAACATAATACAAATATCCTTCGTTGGATTAAGACAAATGACCGTCCAGGCGAATACGGTGCCCAGAGTTCAACGTTTTTCAAGTTACAATCCGTCAGCTGTTTATATTGAGCAGGAAAAAAAAAAACACACACACAAATACTAATTGCCAACCTGAATGAATGCCGCTCCCGCAAGTCACTAAATCACGACCCTCAGCTGCGCGCAGCAACACAAATCCTACAGCGTGTGCGCGTCTGTGTTGGACTTTTGGCTTCGTTGCACTTTGTGAAAAGAAACAGTTGACTTCCTTATCGCCCTTTTAAACTCTTTCAGTGACAGCGGTTACTACAGTGGACAGCTCAGCTCATCAGGTTATCAGGTTACAGGTTATCATTATTTGTGCATGAAAGGGTTAATATATGTATACAGTGATCCCTCGCTATTTCGCGGTTCGTTTATCGTTTATCGTTTATCGCGGCTTCAGTGCATCGCGGATTTTTTCAAACATATTCATGAAAAAAAAAATAATAATCATATACATGTAGTACAGTACTGTATATGTTGCTCAATGTGACTCGCTGTTGTTTTGCTGACTTTCGCAGCTTCTCGCGGACTGTTTGCGGATTTAAAAAAAAAATATATATATATATATATGAGAGAGAGATTTTCCTTTTTTGTTTTAAAATTTGACCAATAAAAGCTTGTCCAATACAGATTTTACCATTTGTTGTAATTTACAGCAATGATGTTTCAGGAATTTTTCTTTCTTCTTTCTGTTGCTGAACCTAATCCTTAATTCATAAATGTGACTCTATACATATATCACTGTGTGACGTATTGTTTTTATTACATTATTATTTTTATGAAAAAACTGATTTGTTAAAGAGAGAAAACTTTTGGAAAGGTTTACTTGCACACACACACACACACACACACACACACACACACACACACACACACACACACACACACCATGCTTGCAGTTGTGTTGAAACATGACCTTTAACTACCATTCCGATTGCAGTATGCAAAACTGCTGCATTCGGCTTTCAATTTAATAACCACGTTCAGATCCCAGCGCAGAGGTATTCCCCGTGACTTGGAAACAATCCAAAGCGCTCCATTTGGAGCTGTGCATCATGCCTAATAAGGGAAAGAGCTGTGTGGTGTCACTGATGATGGATCAGGGACCTGCTGAGCTCATTAGATAGGCGTGCTGGCTTTGCATCACTGATGCAAATGGGGTCCAGCAATCAGTTCTGCTAAGTGCTCCCCGCTTTGTCTTTTTCACACACCATCCCGTGGTTGCTCGTCACACCGTAACACTGTTTAAAAAGAGCGAGACGTTAGAGAGGAATGAAAGAAATAAAGCTGAAATGCCTGCAATAGGTGAAATGAAAAATGTGGAAATGCGAACCACTTCTACGCGAGGTAAAATAACAGCAACCTGCTTTAAAGTGGATGCGGACGCCGCAGACGAGACAAATCTGGAAGGCAGAATCGAGTGTTTCGACTTGCATCTCAAAAATATATTCACACGATAGCTTTTTTTTTTGGCGTTTCTTTTTGGAGAACATCGCGATTAACCCTTTTATGGACAGCGGTCACTACGGTGGACAGCTTATCATGTGATCAGGTTACAGGTTAGTCTTATTGGTGCATGAAAGGGTAAAAGAATTTTGATAGAAAATGAGGTATGGATTTTACTTACATGGCAGTCATTTTTATTTCTTTTTTTTACCCCTTTGTCTACTTCACAATGCGGTTATAATCGCCCACATTTGGAACATTTACCAGTTCTCAACAAGGAAAAAAAAAAAACCAACGCAAGTAAGCTGCAGAATGGAAAGCTATCGCCATATTTTGGGGAATATTTATCCGATAAACAAAACATCAGGAACGGGCCATACAGTCAGTGTTGAAATAAAAGAAAAACGTTTATATCACCGCTGAAAAGGGCAGTACGGGCATAAGGGAGGGTGCAAAAAAAAAAAAAAAAGGCAAGACTCCTCTTCATATCTTAGGGTGATGCTTTTTGTGTATGTTTTTCTTCGTTGCCTGGGGGGCAATACTCCAGCCATCCCTGCAGTAATGCACAGCCCTCCACCTCCACCCTTCCAGTGTCACGCGTGCAGACACTGGCAGGCAGCGCGGAGCGCGGCCTGATGGGCGGGGGCGGTGGGTCGAGTAATGGGTAGGGGGAGGGGGGGTGAAAGCAGGGGCATGGCAGAATTGCACGGGTGTACGACTTTGAGACTGGACCGTCACACACGGCTTAGATTGGCTGAGTTGCCGGGGAGCAGTCAGAAGCGATTAGTGTAGCAGAAGATCTGCCCTGCGGCTTTCCCCTCTCTGCAAGCACAAGAAAGAGGGATGAGGCGAGCAGAGAAAGAGGAGGTAGACCAGGGTGAAGTGGGGAAGGGGGGTGTGACATGCCATACGTACAGATAATTAGTCTGAGCCGAGCTCTCTTTTTCTTTTTTCCTTACTTTTTTTTCGAGGGGGGGGTCGCAGTTTGCCTTATTTACTCAAAAGACGTCGCAAGAAGCCGATGACACGACAACTGCAGGGAGTCGGGGGGCTAAAATATCCAACTGCTCCAATGTGTATCATTTCTAGAACAACACGGTGTATGTTTGATTGGAAAACGAGCAGAGCAGAAGACAATAAGATTTTACAAAAAAATAAGGATCATTTGTCATTAGAACTCTTTCAGGGACAGCGGTCACGACAGCGGACAGCTTATTATGTTATCCAGGTTATCATTATTGGTGCATGAAAGGGTTAAAAAGAGCTGGAAAGCTAGAGAGAGGTAGTTTAACAACAAACTTATGTAAGTAAGGAAAAAAAACAACAAAAAAAAAAAAACAAGCGGACAACAACAACGTTGAATGAAGGACAGAGGCTGTCTCAAACTCTCACTGTCCCGTGACTCAGAGCGGGATGCCATCCGTCAAAACTCCCACAACCCCCC